CTTTCCCTGCTCTTCTGGCCAAGAACACTTTCTCATTTTTAGTGAAGTTCTTTTCTTTCTTTCCTTATGTAGTGATTTTGGTTTTCCTTTGTTCTCCTTATTTGGTATGCACATGAAAGCGGATGGTCTGTCGTTCTCTGGGAGCAAATCCAGACGACCTAAAGGATCCAATTAAAATTAGTATTCCACGCTATGTCCTGTGTGGGCAGGGAAAGGATGAACACTATGAGTTTGAAATAAAGGTAAGTGTTTTTCAGTTGCTTCTCCTTAACGTTTGGGTTCTCTCTACACATGTTGCTTGCATTTGTACAACAGTAACGTCATAGTAGCAATAATAATAGAAAAATGCTTTTTGTTTAAAACCAAATAGTTCCCAGTTTGCTCTCTCCAGCCGTCAGTGTGCACTGTGACAGCGTCACAGTTAGCAAAGATGAAAATGGCAACTTGAAATGCACCTGAGAATCTGCATATTCCAGAAATCACCTTACTAATCCCAAGGAAACGTAGTTTTTGTTTCTGCTAACTGCAATTTTTGGTTCTGTCTCTTTCCATTGTCTAAGTACTGCTAAGTAAGAGAGATTGTGAGAAGGCATGCACAATACAGGACACTATAAAGGCAGGTATTTTCCAAATGGATCGATTGTACAGAGGAGGTTGATGGTCAGACTCTTGGGGTGAGCAGTTCCAGATCCAATGTCAAATAATTCAGTTGAAAGTGTTGCAGAGATGAGGATTAAATGTATCTTGGTTATAGGAAAGCCCTTTATTGAGATGCGAGTGTCAGGTATAGAAAATTAGACTTGAAATACTCACCTGTAATAATGAAAGCATAATTAAAGTATTCTGCACATATCCACAACAAAGGCTTGATTCCTTTCTGGCTCTCTGTTGTTCTGATTCTTCCCACCTTGCTTTTCCAAGGTCTTGCTTCTCCAAACTGTTATCTGCTTCCCCTCCATTCTAGTGCCTTCCTCAGTTGATTTTCTGTGCAGAAATGCTGGAAAAAATGCATATTCATTATGTTTCCTCTGGTACTAAGCCAGTGTTTTTTTCAAAGCAAGATATGAAGTCTAATTGGAAATGTGCTCTCAGTGCATGTGGACATGTAGCATAACTGATGTACATGGCATCAGAGACAGAATTGGCAGCCTTCTCCATTGAATGTACTGCCAGATGCTTTAATAGCTGGTTTACGTTGGAGGAGTGACCTGCCCTCATGGTGTGCAGGACTGTGTTTGAACTGTGCTCACATTCTCTTTTGCAAAGGCTTTTACGAAGATGGGCAATCTTGGCTCTGTTTGAGCTAATTAAATTTTCATCTCGAGACACACTGCACAATTTGTGGATGGAATACTTGCTTTTGCCTTTTGAACTTTGAATTTCCTGGGGCCAGCGAAAGCCTAGAGCCAAAGAGGTGCTGAGAGAAGAGTTAAGTGCATACAAAACTTCCCCAAGGACTGTTCTAGCTGCCAACTATTTTCAGCAGATGGGATTTACAAAACTGGGTAATGGTTAGTGAAGGTAAATACGTAAAAAGGTATTTTCTCTTTTTAGTAAATTGGTGGATTTCTTTTCCACGTATTCTCCCTTCATCCCTAAAACCCCTGTAAAGCATCTGCAAGATCTTAGGATGAAGAGGCAGTTAAAGAGTATGTGCAGGAGGACTTGGACTTGCCTGGAAGGAAATGTAATAGAAGAAAAATGTTGGAAGGGGGTGGAATTTATAACCAGGAAAGAACAGGGTGCCCTGGCTAAGGGCGGTGTATATGGAATGGCTATTCTCTTCTGTCGTACTTGCCAGTACCATCTCTTCTCTCTCTCTCTCTCTCCTGTGCTACTTCTAGGCTGCCTCTGAAAGAAACTGCTGCTTAAATAACTGCTTTGATGACGTTCAAAGCAAAGAAATGGATGACATATGGGGTAGGGAATGGGCTATCACTTTAATATCACTTTAATACACTTTAAGTGTACTCCATTGCTGTCAACTTATTTAGAGCACTAAATATTTCTGTTGAAGGTCCTGTGGACCTTAATTTGGGGCAGTCTTTGGGATATTTCTTTTAGTTGTTCCCTTAGACAAACTGATCAAATGCTTATGCTTTTTCCTTTGCTTCCAGGTCTCTGTATGTCACAGTGGGTTGCTTTTGCTGTGGTCAGGATTTGGCTCCAAGCTACAGTCCACAGACTTTCCACAAACTTTTCTATTTTAAACCTTTGCCCTGCAGAGCTCCCAGCTCTACTTTGATCTGTATTAATCTTCAGCTGCTGTCACTTTTATTCTATGGGAAATCAGAATACATGGTATAGTGATTTTTTTGCCTTAAAAATCAGGAAAGTAGGAAGACAGGGTAGGGAGGAGAGAACGTGTACCTGTTTATTTCACCCCATCTTGATGGGTCAGGATACAATGTTAGTTGTTGAAATAATTCCTTGTTTCAGCCTTACTTTAATTTGCTCGAGTTTATGTTCAGGTGATCTCATATCAGAATATGTGTCAGTCTTGGGGAAGGGCTGGGGCATTGTTAATCTCATTTCCTTTGCTAGTTCCCAAATAAGCTTTCTTCACCAAGGTTCCTCTTGCTCTTGGGAAAATGGGTAGCTGACTTACCCGCATGTAACAGCACTTTGAAATCTGACAAAGGGATGAGGGATGATTCAATTGCGTGGTAAGACAGTCCCCAAACCTTTGAATCCTAGGTATCTCAGAAGTATTTTCTTCAGCAGATGTTTCTGGTCATTGTGTTTGTAGTTAAATCCTGGCATATTGCTGTATAGAGGAACAAATATAATAAATTTATGTATGTAATAAATATATGAATTTCTTCTTGTGACATGCAATTGTAAAGATTATTTCCTTTATATGTCAAAAGAGAGCAAGTTCCACTTTTCTTGGCAGCATTAAGGTCAGTTCATGAGTCTTTGAAGTCTAACATATCATCCAAAGATACTGTCTTGTAGTGTGGGTTCAGCATCTTGTCCATCTAGACGTATATAACTTTTGGGAATGAGCCAGCAAGGTGATCTGTCCACTCAGGTTCTTCTACTGGATACAGATCCTACTTTAAGATGTTGAGTGACTCTCATGAGACCCTATTGGAGAGAGTTCAAAATAGAAACAAAACCATCCTTTATTTTAGAGTTAAGATAGAACCTTCTGCTTTTGCAGCAAGAGATGTCATGGAGCTGTTTGTGCTGGTCTGCTATTAGGTATTCGGTATTAATAGATACGTTTCCACAAAAACTTCCATTTGAGCGACAGTTTTATATGTTGTCTTTAAAGATGTGATGAAACAGTAGTAGCTTAAGTCTAAACATATTTATGTTAGAGCAGAATTAGAGTACCAGAAAACTATTCTTGTATTCTCATCTTCCTTTCATGTTGTTGCGATATGCAGAATATTCAGACAAGGCTGTGCTAGAAACAGCATGTGGGAAGAGCTCTTCCATCGGTAAGGCTGTTGGCATCTGTCACAGACAGTGCCTGTGGTTGCAGGCCGCACCTAGGGAGGAGCAGCGAGGCAGCAAGGAAGGGCGAACTCCAGCTCACACAAAGGCACACAGGGTCTCCCAAGAGCAGGTGATGGAAGCAAAGCCTGGAATCAAGCACAGCCCTGCAAGGGATCTTCTGACAAGAGGAAAAGTTGTAGATAAGCCGCCTCATTTTTATTCAGCTTTCCCTAGTTGTTCTGAGTTGTTCACATTTTATTTATCCTGTTCGATATTCTTTCAAAACTGTCTTTTTCTTGTGTTTCAAAGCCTTCCAGTCATCTCTGATGATTTCTCTGTAGGAGAAGACCCAGGCAGATGCACCCCAAAGCAGTGCTTTTCTCCAGGTCTGGTCACAGTTCTGTTCAGCCAAGTGCTGTGGTGGGCCTGCTCAAAATGTCCATGTTTCTGTCAAACTTTCTTTCTGAGCTCAGTGGGCTATTGCAGAATTGGAGTAAAGCAGAAGCAGTGCTCATTGATAGTTCTTAAAGAAAATGATGCATGCCCCATGTCTACCTACATTAGAAAAAAGAAGCAGCCCAGTCTTCCCTCAACTCTATCAGATTAATACCCTCAATAGTGAATAAAAAAAGGTTCCAAGAAATTTTTAAGCAAGTTTTAGCTTTTCAGATGCTGTATTCATAGACAGTGTGAGGAACAGATTCAACAAGGGCCCTTTGGAGAAATATGAGTTCTCACAATTACTATAGACAGTTTAACCAGGCCAGATAAGTAAGGTGGGCATGTTCTGTTCTTTGATTGCTTCAGAATGAGGTGGAATATTTCTTTCTCCGCCCCCCCCGCTATGGTTTTACTTCTGTTTCTGTGGGGCAGAAGGGGAAGAAATTCTGTGACATGCTTTACAGTGAAATAAGTTGAAAATGTTTGTTATGTTATTTTCTGTCAGTTATCATGTAGAAGAAAAATTAAGGAGACAGGACTGTAGTATGTCCTTTCAAATTTGTAAGTTTTACATAGGAAATGGTGTGCTTGGATAAAAAACAGTCACAATTCTGAGGCAAGTCTAGAATCACCTAAGTACCCGTGTAAGAATATTTTGAAAATCTGTCTTACAGATTTATTCAACCATGTATTTTTCATTAAGAAAATATTTTAACTACTATGTTAGCAAATTACAAGTAAAAAGTAAAGGGCTTGTCAAATTTGCTTTACTTGCTACTGTTCTAAACATCTGCATATGTCTCAGTCCCGTATGTACAGAGCCTATATATTCTGTCATACAGGTTTTTTAAACGGGGGAAAAGAATCCCAGCCCAGATTAGCTGTAGAAGTAAAAGGCCCTGTTCTGGAAATGCTCTCGCTATGCCAGGTGCACTGCAATTCTCGTATTGATCCTAATAACATCATTGTTGAGCTTTGGGGACCGGTTAAGATTTGAATTCATTTTCCAATAATATCAGCAGTAACAGCAATAAAATTTTGCAATGCATTACTTGCTAGTCTCATTACAAGATTAGGAAGGCAAACGAAGAGGATGAGAGGGACCGAGTCTGGTCAAGCCAAGCCACCAGGGAATGCTCTAGACAAAATCCTTCAGTTCTTAGGCAGCACAGATAGATATGGCTTTGCTGTTTTCCTTCTCGTCCATCGCTAACAAGTTGTTTATTAAAGTTTGTAGAAGAAAGCTAATAAATAATTGGCTGCAGGCAATTTGATTTGGTGCAGTTTGGTACCACCCTATCACCTAGACAGCTGTCAGATGCACAGCCAACAACTTGATTGGCAAGCTGACATATGTGCTCTTCCCCAGGCTGGATGCTTCTGTGTTCTGGATGCTTTGTGCTAGGTTGTTCCCCTAAAGGCGTGCGTCTGTGAAAACCCTAAGGGAAAAAGAGGTCACTTTTGAATTAACATCATGTACAAATGAAATTATCACAGCAAAATTTCACAAGTCAGAAATACTAAAATACAGAAATAAATCAAAAAGAAAGCAGAAATAAGTAACATCTTTATTTTATGGTTATCCGTTGCACTCTAATGTTCACTTGAACATTTAAATCACAAAGTCCTTTACCTTAAAGTAATTATTCAGAACAAAATGGTTAATTGGTTAATCAACATCAGTGTAACATGCATATTCCTGAATAGTTCCTCTTTTTTTTTTTAGTTAAACCTGCCTCTGCATGTTAAATCCATTCACCTTATTTGTAAAGTTTGAGACACTGTTAATATATTGAGGGAGGGCAACTGCAAGAATATTTTTTAATGAGGAAATACAATCCATCATGCAGATGTCCTAGTAACAGTCAAGCTTATTGGTGGCATGAAAGATGAATTTTATCAGAAATAATGAATTTGCATTGTGGGGATGTGTTAGAAGAACCTATTTTTTAATATCTGTGAAAAGTATTGAGAAGGCCCATTTTATTTACTTACATCTTTTAGTTAAAAATAGAGGTAAAAATAGGAAAAAAAAAAAAAAAAACTCAAACCTGGTTCCTGATGTCACAAGACACACAATAATTTTTGGTTTCCAAAACACTTCCCTTGGTTTCCCTGTTCCATGTACACCAGCAAAGGCAGCGGGGAAGGGTGGACCAGAGGTGAGTTGGTTGTGAGCATGAGGTGGTAGTTGTCAACAGCGGTGCTTGGATGGTGGCTTCCTCTGGCTTTATTGCCCTGGTTGCCTTTTCTCCTACTCAGTTACCCTGCTCTGTTGTGACTTTCTGTCACTCTGTAACTTTCTGATACGCTCAGTAGCGAGGGATCTACTTGTTCATTTTAGGAGTCGCCTTAGGATTAAAAGCCAAGCCTGTGTCTTTGTGAAATGCATTTTATGAAAATGCTTATTTTGGATCTTCATGCGTAAATTCATAGCTAGACAAAGGCAATATCACATATTAGGCCTGTTAGATTAAAAAAGCAACAGTCTTTTCAGGTTTAGGCAATGCCAGTTGGCTTTCTCCAGCTCTACTAGTCGATGTAGAAAAATGCCCCCTCTCCCTGCAGCATTGCTTCTTGGTAGCCTTGGATCACCAGAGCTACAGAAAGACTTCACTGTAAAATCAAAGGCTCCGGTCATAGCACTTTTATGTCCCACTCACAAATGTCTTTCATTTCACCTGACTTCAGACAGTGAAAAATTTTTTTTCCCTGAAATTTGTGCTGGTTTCTCAGTTCCAGCGAGGATTTTGTGAATAACTGATGGTAAGGTGGGATTGCCCTCCCTCTTTGCTCCTGTTGCTATGCGCTTTACTCACAGGAGCAATTCTGTTGATTTTAATGAAATTTCCTGTGTAAATGGGATGTTCATCAACATATGGATGACACAGGCACCGAGTGTTTTAAAGGGGTATCTTCTACTAAAAGCTGGGATATATAATTTTTTTACCCTACAAATTGGAATCCCATTCTATGTGATAATGAACTCTGTGTGTCCGAGAAACATGTATTTATTATTTGTGTGTGTGTGTTTGTGTATATGAGAATATATACATTTCTATGAATGTATAGAGAGGCTACGCTATGCTTGTGCTGGGTGTTATTCATTTCTTAATGGACACCCACTGATTGGAATGCTGTGAGCTGCATAGCTGCACCAAGGAATGGGTGGGGATACTTTAATGTGTTTACAGCCTTGTCAAACCACTCCGGAATAAGAAATAAATGCATTCAGTTTTTTTGCTTTGCAGTCAGTGCTCCTTATTAAATACAGTTCTGTCACTGTAATGAAAGAAAAATTAAGTAAATGTATAAAAGCTTATAAATTTAAGGGAATGAAGAATTGCCTGTTTTAATCTCATAACCTTGTATACTGCATGGTTTTTAGTGTTACACATTGTGTGGTTTTACTTCTATTTCTTCTTTTTATATTGGCTGATATAGATAACAGTCCTGGATGAGACATGGACAGTATTCAGGCGGTACAGTCGTTTTCGGGAAATGCATAAAACTTTAAAACTGAAGTACCCAGAGGTAAGTTTTGGTAAAACTTCTTTTAGAGAAAAGGGTGGAGGTAGAGACTTGAAAATAAGTTTTTTTGAAAGATGTTTACTCAAAACCAATATTCCCCTCAGCCGTGTGCTTCTAGTAAGATTGGCAAGCCCTTCAGCAGTTTAAAGCTCCGAGGCTGCTAGGTACAGGATGGATGTTTCATGCTGTTGCCGCAGTGAAACTGTGACTCCATGTGTTGCCTCTAGCCATTAATTCCCTTTACCGCTGACTGGCAGCGTTCCCTGGAGGGTGCTCTTTTGTTCATTGCAAGGTACTTGCAGTCAGATCATGTCATCCTGACAACTCCTCATTTAAAAGAAGAGCGTTGTTCCACAGATACCCTTTTGTAATAGTGGCTTCCAGGTTTCTGCAAAATGGAAAATTGATCTTTCTGACCACCTCGGAGACTCTGGGCATGGAGGATATGAGGAGCTGTGCCTGACAGAGCTTTAGTTTGTTGGACTGAGCGTCTGTAGAATTACAGTTCTTGGTTTCCACATCTAACTTTTAATTATTAACATTTTGCTTCCTTTCTACTTGTTCCCTTGGATATTAGAAGTAGTAAATCATTCAAGCAATTGAAGTGATCCCTATTTGAGAGTTAGCACAAATAAAGAAGCCTGGGCCATGTATTCATGGGCAATATATTAAAAAACATGAATATGTTCAAGAAAGAGAAAGATGCGATAGTGTGCAAACGCTTTCTTGGTCTTCATTGACATATTCTTTAAGCTAAAAACTAATTGAGCATGGAAAGACCTTGTGTTTTCAAGGGTAAAATATGTAGATCTGTGTTTGGTGGAGGTTCTGGGACTTAAGACCCATTCCAAAACAGTATGAAAAACAGAAATTGAAACTACCACACACCAAATATCTAATGGAAAGCTTACAAAAAAAAAAAAAAAAGAGAGAGAATTAGGTCATCTTTTCTGATTGTCAGAAAATTTTAAAAGGTAAAAATGAGTTTTGAGTGGAAAATTGAAATGTTCTCTTTCCACAATTGCTTTTAGCGATATTACTTGTGAATGAACATCAGTATCGTATTTTTGATTTGAATGAATTGCCATTTCCTCTTGGATGTTAGAGTTGTAGCCTGTTGACAGTAATATCCTAATTACACCTAACTCTTGAAAAAGCAGCTAGGCAGTCATCCAGTTGAAATAAAAAAGGGCCACCTGAATCCTTCTGTGGGTGATCTTCCTCATTTAGGAAAATGCGTTCGAGTGGCCTTGTTCAGAGTCTTATTGGTCCTGACAGTACCTTGAGAACAATTGAATTTGGCTTTTACAGTTATGTCAGAGGGAGAGCAGCTGCTTTGTAGGCTGTAGTAATCAGGTTCAGGAGGAATCTGGTGTTCTTAAAGCCATTATTAAAATGTCCTGTGTGCTGCAGCATATTAATGTCACTTTTTTTCATCAAGCATTTGTGACTCACAATACAAATTTGGGCTTTTTTGGTGTTACAGGAGGGGGTGGGGTTTTTCTGTTGGTTTTTTTTTTTTTGTTTGCTTGTTTTGAAGAACCGTTAGAACGTAGGAGTGGTATTACTAGGTCAAAATGAAGTCCCGCATCCAAGAGCATACAACTGAGAAAAAATCCCAGCCCAGAGCAAAGGTGCGTAGTTTTCTTTGTCTTGGAGTCTTCCCAGCTGAAGTTGTTTTCGTTGTAATTAATAGTTCATGATTAGTGTTTTTCCTGTGGATTCTATCCATATTTTCTGTTCTCTACACCACTCACTTTATAGGTATCCTATCAGCAAAAGAAAATTGCCTATATATATATATATATATATATGTTTGTTTTTTTTTTTTTTTTAGCTTCTTCCCTCTGTGGTCATGCTTGCAAGGTCAATACATTCTCTAGTTTAATGTGCCAGTTTGTTTCTTATTGACACTTCTGTATTGCCATATGTCTGTGTCTTAGGTAAACTTATTGAGATTCACATCTAGTACATTAATGGAATTATTGGTTTAACTATGCAGATGAATAAATTTATAATTTCCACATAGGAAACTCATTATAGTATGTTTTGTTAAGTTATCTGTTCCCTTCTCAAGGACAAATGCTAAGTCTTACAAGTTTGCCAGTATAACTTTCCCTAAAATATCGTTCTCTTTGGAGAAGCATAGTCATGTGTTTTGCCTTCTAATATACTCGGAAGAAATGTTTAGTCATGTTACTTTCTGAAACAATAGATCTATAGCTTTAGTAGTATCTTCTTCCAGCCTTTATCAAGCCTTCACTTCACAACAACCTTCAATAAATTATCAGTGAGGTTCAAGTATGTGTATCTTTGCTAAGTACAAAGCACACTAGAGTTCAAGAGAAGAGAGATAAGCATTTGATCGTGTAATCTACTGCTTTTAGATAGGTACTGTCACTTAAGTACCTGTTTTGGAAACCCTTGCAGCAAATGATGTTGTCTTCTCTATTTTACATAGTACCAGCTGTTGTGTTGTGTTCACTCCTGCTTTCAGACTTAGGGCACCTCAAGGAAACAGCAAGTTTGTGGGCAGAGGAAACCTAGCTGATACACAGTTGGCTTCTTCTGCTCATCAGCATTTCTACAAACTACTGTGTCCTTGTTTATCCGAGGAGAAGAGTACATTGTGATGGATGAAACACATGATATCACACACTGCAGTAAAGATTTGGTGTTTGTTTTCTTTGAAGGAATTTAATTATCAATGTTACATATGTGAATGATCGATGGCTTCCCGTATTTTTACCTTTATTTAAAATAGCCTTAATTTATGGTAATTTTGGATTAGTTTTGCAACGTGAGTAGGAGTTCAGTTTGTTTGGTAAAGTGAAAATCATCTGTCTGCTTCTGCTCATCTGTCATTGACCTAATTTGGGATTCACCATGATGCTAAAATGCATTTTAATACCAAACTTGGCAAAGTTGTGTCCTTACTTACTGTATATTATTCCAAAGAAACTTAATCCTTAAAACCAATGTTATCAGAACCCATCAGAGTTGAATCTTATTTTGCATAGTTCACCTTCCAACTCTAAATTAATATTTATAATGAGCAGCGAAAATACTGTGGACGTGTTTAATGTATGAGTGTCCTGCTTTTAGAAGTGAACGTTACAGCTCATTAGTTGCTCAGCTCTGAGTTACTACATCAGTATTTTAATAATTTGCTGATCTTGCATTTCGTGTTGCTGCCACTGAATTCCCAAAGGAATGTATTGGCAAACTGATTTATTGGGAAAGTTTAAAAAAAAGAAAGTATCTTTTTCAGAAGCAGACACTGTCTAATGTCTTCCAGTCTTACAATATGCCATATATTTTATATACCTGCACGTTTCTTCTAATGTAATTAAGTGGCTGCTGACAACTGGATATCTAACTGAAATGTGTCACATGCAAAATTTGAAAGACTGAAGAAGCTGCAGCAGGGTGGGATTGTGCCAGAGGCAGATAAGTACCAGCATTTTAACAGTGCCTGGTTTTTTTTTAGGTCTGCGTGATTGTCATTTGCCCAGCTTCAGCTTTCTTATGCTGCTAGATTGTTAATGACTCTCTTACTATTTTTGGAATTTTAATTAAGACCGTACTTGGCTTTCAGTTGCAGTAGTCTCTGTAATGAATATACTTTTTGTTTGTCATTAGTCAGAAACAGGAGCAAATGGGCTCTTTAATAGGGAAGTGAGAACTTTCAGAGTAAGATTCTCCTTTTTTTTCTTCCTTCTTCATCTTTTCCTATCAGTTCATGGTTTTGAAATATTACTGGGGTGCTGATTTCTGCAGAAGACCTCCCCTTCCTGATCCCCATCTTGCTGTGAGGGAAAACTCGCTCTCCCATCTCTGAGTTCAGCAAGTTTGAGGGATGCACTGTTGCGATGACCGGTGCTCTCCTCCTCTTACCACTTTCTTGTCTCTTCTCTCTTTCAAAGGAGAGCAGAGGAACAATAGTCTATTTGTCTTTCCTTTTTTTTTTCCCTACCCGAATCCAAAGTTTATGAAGTCCCTCATCTGTGGGGATGTCCTTAATCCCTTCTTGCATCCAGGTGTCTCAGCCAGGTTTTGCGGGGCTTTCGCTGTAGGCTCTGCTTATGGAGTTGTCTGTCAAATCTTGAAACCTCTTTCTGTGTGCATAGAAGTCTCTACGTGGCATTAAGGGAAGCGCCTACTATAGAGGCATTTTTATTACTAATAATGATTCTCGACTTAAAATATTAGTAAATCCATAGAGAGCTGCCAAAGAGAAGCTAAAAGGTATGCTTGCATTTATAGGTTTGTTCATGGAGATAGGGACATATGTGTGTAGGCCAGATTTCTGCAGGAGTGCTAAAGCTATCGACTTCTAGCTTATTTAACAGAATGTAATAATTTGTGGATTTGTATTTGATATATGGGTTCTGTATATAAATACGTATTTGTATCTTTCACAGTCTAAAGCACAAAAGGACTGTTTATAATTATTAAAGAATTTTAGGTTGTAATTGAGCCAGCTTCCCCTTCCACACGTCTGGTTTTTGTCATCTTACATGACTGAAAGGATGCATAATATCCATATCTGAAACAGCGGGAACGTCTATGTAAACTTAAACCTTCAAGCCAAAGTTACCAGGTGATCTGCCTCTGCCCCCATCTGCTATTCCCACTGGGGAAACGAGTGTGTGCGATATATTGCAGTAACACATCAATATCATGAATCTTGGAGGTTACGATTAGAGACTGTTGCTTGGATGACAGGGTTTTTCAGGTACATTAAGTATTGGACAGTGAAGATTGTGTTTTATAACCTTTAGGAAAAAATGCTGTTTGGTTTCCACTTTTTTTTTCTTGTCTAGTGTTCTGGAGGAAAAGCTCTCATCGGTGGCGTCGATGAGAGTCAGATATTCCTTCTTTTTATTTCTGAAGATAATATCCTCTGCTTATCAGAAATCTCTTTGACGGAGTATCATTCTGTTTGAGAGAACTCAAGGCTCTTGTCAGCTGGAGGAGTTAGCAGGCTGCTCTTTGCTTTG